CTGTGTTTCAGCAACAGTCTGTGTTGCAGCCCGTCGCCGCGCAGACGTGATGCTTCACGTAGTCACTGCTCGAGGCATTTAGTTTTTTTTTAAATGGTCCTTCCTTCAAACTTGCTTATTCCTGTCATTTGTCACTCTTCTGCTATAACTACATGTTTCTAGCATGAAGCATTACCGTAGCCAGCGTACAACGTTCCCTTCTAGCGATCTCTGGGCAGGGAGGCTGGAGCGGGGAGCGGTGAGTTGCGGAAGTGAGTGACTTGTCCAAGGTCACTGACCAGAAGCTGGGAATAGACCTCAGATTTACAAGAAGGGGTTAATGGTGGATTTGGATTTGTAGCTGGATAAGGCAGATGGTTGCAAGCAGCTTAATATGTACTTAAAAGATCTCTCTGCTGTGAACTGCTGGCCAAAGTAAGGGATCTTACCTTTTTCAGGCTCCAACACGTACGAGGAAGCAGCTGCGTACATCCAGTGTCAGTTTGAAGATCTGAACCGGAGAAAAGACACCAAGGAGATCTACACACACTTCACCTGTGCCACCGACACCAAGAACGTGCAGTTTGTGTTTGATGCTGTTACAGATGTTATCATTAAAAACAACCTGAAGGAATGTGGGCTCTACTGAGAAGGAAGGGGCGTGGGAAGAAGGTAAAGCTGAGCTGCTCGTAGCATGGAAGCGTTGCCCACCAGCTCGGGCTGGCTTTGCCTTGCACCTCACTAACGCTTGCTTTTTCTTTTCAGTTTTTATGATGTGGCGTTTTGAGAACCAGACTCTTTGCTGCCTCGTGGGGACAGCTGCAAGCATGAACAGGACCAGGGAAACGAAAACAGCATGCAGAATCGTTGCATTCTTTAGCACAATCTTCTGTATTAGGGACCTTTTTATTGATATGGGATGTTGAAGTTAGGTCAAGATGGAACAACTGTTAGTGTGACTAGATCATCCTGGCATCGTTTGGATGGCGTAATCTCAAATGTGTACAGCTGTTGTGAAGTTGAGGTGCTGGATTCCAGACCTTCGATATGTAGCTTTCTCTCTTTCTTTGGTTAACAAGCCACCACTAGTCTGTTTTTAAGGTTTTTTCCATCAAGAAAACTATAACTTTACTAAATTTTATTTCTTTATTTGCAAACGAATCTTGTTTTAAAAATAAAAAAACAACAAAAAAAAATCACTTAACTATGCACATGTGACCAGATCATGCAGAAAGTATCCTCTTAGCAGGAACTCTTTGTTTTTAACACTTGGTATGGTCAGGATTTAATATTTCTGCAACTACTTAAAGGATCCTTAGAGCTCTTACGGCGATAGCTTCGGCTTTTTCTGATGTGTAACTTGTTACCATCCTGCTACCATAAGGCTTTTGGAAGAAGCTTCTGCAGCAGGATAAGTGAGTCGTCTTAGCGTATGGTTAGGGGTGAACCTGGTTTTTGCTGGTATTCAAATCGAGATTCATTCTGCGTGGTAAGCGTAAAGCCAGCTTCGTGGTGAACGTGTACCTGGGCTGTGTCCGTTGGAGAGATGAAATGCTGAGCTCCAAACGGGATGGGAAACGCGTGCTGCTCCAGAGCTACTAAATCAACCACTTAGATTCTTGTGCATTTTTGGTCTAACCTGGTGGGCAATTTTGTAAAGGGTGCGCCTTGTTCTGCATTTACCACGGCCTTTTCTGTTCAGAGACTCCTAAACTGTATTGACAAGCATGCCTTTACTTTGTATATGTGGTGCCAAATTCCTGTTTGCCATTGTTTTTACTGTAGTAATGTTCATAACCAGTCAGTACATTCCTTTGCTGAACCATTGCATTGACTCTTTTCCCCAGTTTGTCATGTGTACAGTTTCAATCTGTTATAGTTGTTGGCAGTATTAAAATGGTGAGTAAAGAGTTTAGCCTTTTCTCTAGTTTATTCTTAATTTTTCCCCTTTTTGTGCTTCGCTGGAGGAGGAAGGTAAGCGCTTCGATGGGGAATGGGTGTAATTAACGGGACAGGAAGGTTCCTGCTGCTTTATCGTACACGACTGTTGGTGCTCTCTGTGCAGGCAGTTCTGCTGCTCCCAAAGACGGGGGTTGTGCTGGCACAGATGAAAACGGCAGGCATCCAGTCGTTCGTCAGGCTTATTGGCAGATGGTTAGTTTACTGCTTATTTATAGCACAAGTCTTGCTGCCTCTTTTGAACCTGATGGGGAAAATGACTGCTCTGGACTGCTGTTTCAAAGACACTTGCCTAGAAATACAGAATTAAATACTTCAGGGATGCTTGTGGGTGCTGTAAATGGCTACCACATAGTGTCTGCCGGGTGTCTGACACGCAGCGCTGCCCAGCAGCTGCAAAGAGTGTATTTATGGTCTGGAAACCTCTTTCCCAAGCTGCCTTGAGCTCTGCCTGCCTGACAATTCCCTTCTAGCCAGCCTTGAGGCTTTACTACAGCTTCACGCTAACGCATGGGATATCTCACCTTGCCTTTTAAACAAATTCATGCAAACCTCCCCGGTAATTGGATTGCAGCAGCACGGCGCTCCCTGATCGGTGCTGGAGCTGTGCGAGAGGCTTTGGCTGGGAAGGTTTTTGGGTTGGTGGTGGCCCGGTGGCACCTGGCACCTCTGCCTCTGTCCCCACCGGGTGCCCGGAGGACGGCGGTGGCACGTGGGCCACTGGTTGATCTCGGTGGGGGATCCGTGTGTGCACCGAGTGCAGAATGAATGCAAAGAATGTAAAATATTCCTTGATCCAAGCTCTCAGACATAGGAACGGGGCTGGGGAACAGTCATCACAGAGAAATCAAAGTAGGAGAAATGATAGACATCCGTGTCATGCATATTTATTTATTTGGTTCTTCCTACAGTTAAATGAAGCTGTATACGTGATCTCTGCAGTAAACACTGAGAGGATACAGGACTTGTCTACAGTACCAGCGGAGATTTATTTACAAACAGCAAAGAGCAAGTACAGCTCTAAATAGCAGAATGAAAATCTTTCAAGTAACCATTTCCTCTTTCGCCAGCCCATTCCTCTTCTGTAGGCGTGATCGCCTCCCCCAGACCCTGCCTGCTCCTGCCTTTGCTTGCCCACGGGCAGCTACAACCTCAGCAGTGCTCTGGGGAGAAATTCCCTCAAGCCTTGGGGCATAAAAAAACCCCCCTAATTTCTCCTGCCAAAGGACTGAGGTTGGTTACCGGCGGTGACTCGTAGGTAACCCAGCCTCCCAGAAACTCCTGGTTGGATTAATTCAGTTTTGATAAAAGGAAAGAAACCCAGCCGCAGCGGGACGGGCAGGGGAGGAGTGCCTGTCCCTGCCTCCCGCAGAAGCGATGCCGCTGGCTCTCCCCGAGCACGCTGCGCTGCCCGGCCGCGGCAGGGTGGAGGTATGATGGCTTAAGACTAAATTTTTCTGGCTGGCGTACCGGGGCCCGCGTGCTCTTTGGTGTCAAAGCACTCCAGATCTCGTTTGTAAACGCTGCCTTTCACGCACTGCAGAGAGCAGG